TCAGTGGGACAGATATACTCTAAGATGAAGTTGTTTATAAAATAACATTTTTTGATTCTAAAAGGAGCAATAAATATATTATATTCTTTTTAAAATGATTTCTGTTTTTTATGTTAAAACATTTTTTATAATAGAAAAAATGCTTCAATTATAAACTTCATGAGACATTACATGTAGCTTTTGTGCCTAGTTTTTAGTTTGTTCACAGAGAACACCTAAAAATTTAACACAAAATTGATCAAATATTTGTACTATTATTATGAACTATTATAATTAAATCAAGTATTTTTATGGATTTCACATATTATTAAAGATCTTTCTCTAAACTCATAATTATAAAAGCTTCAAGTTTTTACCAACTTTAACTCACTAACTTATCTTCCACAGTTGATTTGTGTGTGAAAAATAGAGTAAGTATGTATTTGAATACTATAGAAGTGGTTTAGTGGACATTTGCCCACTAACTTCACAGTCCAGTCTGTCCCTGGTTAGGTATATGATACTAATTTAATATTACATTATTGATGACTCCTGGWAATTTTGTTTATTTAAAAAATAAAATTTAAAGGCATTATGATGTACCATTGTATGTAGATATACAAGTATAAATATATAAAATATATTACATATTTGTTTTATCTTTATWATTAGCTACTAATACATGGACTAGATAGCTCAACAATTATATTATGTATGAGTAATTAGTAATTATTATTGTAATTAGTGAATAAATACTAATATAAGAGCTTATAAAACCACAATAATTAGTAATGACTTAATTGTTACTGTCACTACAAATAAAATATGAACAGTCTTCACAAAAGAAATAGTATAGGGATGAGTCACCATAATAGTAATCGGCAATTCACATTGGTATGGTTAACTTTTAAACTAAGTTTATTGATTTTTTAGTAACCTTTAAAGGTAAGAACATCATTCATAGTGTTTTCTCATTGCTTTTTAATAATATTTTTATTTTTAAGTGAGTTAAGAGCATTTTTAAAAATTAATGGTTTAAATACTCATAACTTACTACTAATTAAAATATCCCAAAAATATAACAAAAGATACTACATATCTAACTCAGATAATTCCTTATTTTTAGGGTTGATAATAAGTCAATTTAGGTATGTTCTCTAGTAAGTAAGACGGAAACAACAAATGCGGCTATATCCAAAGATAAATCCTAATATTTTAATGCTCATAGTTGAAATGAGATATTTTCTTTAATTATACAATATAAACCATATCTTTCGAGAAAAAAGTTTTCTAGAACATAACCTAGGTATAATTAAATAATTTTGTTTTAGCTTGATTTTTGTTGGTATTTACTAGAGGGATTTAAAGTTTTCCAAATTTTAACTACTTCATWTACTCCGAGATATACACATTCTAAAAGTTTTACTAATAAGCCGATCGCCACGAAATTAGAAAACAATAGAGTCTAAATCGAACACAAGTCATAGTACTCTAAATTATTACAGATGTGTAAATATGAAGTATTATTTATTTTGGCTTATAGGTTTAAATAGTCTCTYGGACATCGTCTTTCTACGGGCTACGRAATTATATTACCGATACCAATACCTACAATTCGGCCGTTAATTTAATTTATAATCTGTAAATTATAGGTAGGTAAATCGTAATAATAAATACCGATTCGACGCTGTCCAGTGGTATGCTCTGGAATTGCTGTTGTTGATGACCAGACATTTTCGGCAAGTACGGAAAGACACAAAAAGGTAGGTAGGTAACGGCGGTAACGGAAAAAAAAACTGTCGTTTGGCGAGAGCCAAATACCGACAGATCAAAATTAATATTAATCACATAAGTTATAAGTAGTAAGTGCCGTTTTCAAACGAATCGTTGACAATAATCTGACTGTACTGTATCTGAACGCCTCACAACCGAATCAACCGATTTGATTGCTTATCGKGCAATGTAAACAAAACATTATGTCAAAAACATGACGGTTGGCGACAGTCGTACAACTTGACGGCAATTCGGGCTCACACGCTCGCATACATAGTACATACCATAAAACGATGGCAATACGACGCGTCCACACCAATTAGTAATTGTCCTGTTACATAATATTATAATACTATAATATCGTCTTGTGAAAACTGGAAGTGGAATTCAAAATTACAAACGTGTATTTTGCAAAACTTCCACCACTAAAATTCAAATTGTGTAAATAATTCAACTGTAACGAGAGTATAACGTTTCATTTTTCATTGCATTTCAAACGCTTTTAAAAATTAGTTGTCCCTGACGTCCCTGTATTGTTTATATCTATTGTTTGGTTTTCTTAAATAATTGCTAAATATTATTTATTATAAGGACAACTCATAACTCTGAATAGTCTGAACCTCTGAACTCATGACTCATGAAGAACCTTTGAAGCTTATATTATTATTTATTATACATTAAAAGTATATTTTAAATATAATATGCCTATATATATATAATATAACATTTTTACAGTAAATATTTATTAGTCAATAGGTATATTTTGGAAATTTCGTTGTGTGTAGAAAATATTATTTTAAATAATATCTTTGATTTACTTTGTATATCTCTGTATTATACCTACTTTAAAATATCATTTGTAGTTGTATCTTGTATGGTATAGATGGGTTGGGCAATGCTAACAACGTAAAAATAAATATAATATGCDTATAAGTAATAAACTAATAACTAGAATTTTGGGCAGCTCACTGCTATCTCTTCATATAGAGTTAATACCAATGACCTATATCAGTGGAATGTTTCAAGACTACGATAATAAAAAAAAAAATTAGGTTAAATTATTAATAATTTTTGTGATTTCAACTAGTTAACAAATACAGTAATCGATGAAAACTAAAATGTTATCGTTCAATTAAAAAAATAATGATTACAAATTGATGAACTATTGCGGGCTACATGCCCACATCAAAAGGGTTAGGTGTTGCGCCGTGTTTGTGACCACTGGGAACACAACTAGAACCCTATTTCTTCATTCATCGAATGAAAAGGAATATGAAAACAGAAATGTTTTCAGTAATCTAAACGATCAAAATAATTTAAATTTGCATATTTACTTGAAAGAAACTGTACAGACTGATCACTTAAGAAGAAGT